TGAATTCTGTTGTTGATAAATTATAGCGAAAAAGTAAGTGAGCAATTCAACAACCGAACTTGAATATTGGCGAGCTACATTGATAGCTTTGATAATGTTATAAAACATTTAGTTCATAATTCAGCTGTGCGTATGCCGAGATATTGAGCCCTTGGGAAGTTTGGAGAGCACTCAAGAGGCAAAAAATGCTTTCGGTTGCACCTCGAGCAACTCTTACGTCTCTTTCGTGCTCTCCAATCTTCCTGCGAGCTCAATATCTCTACATACGTACGCTGACTCATGAACTAAGGGAGCAGTCATTGACTATTGGGGGGGTAAGGCTGGTAAATTTTGGGGGAGGGCCTCCCATTTAGGGAGGGCTAAATTTTTCTGGGTCCGCATCAGTACGGGAGGGTTATAATTTCTAGGCGTCTTTGGGCGATGTGCGCGTACTATTAAATGGGTTTTGTGCTACTGAAATATTAAGCACTGCTTAAAATACGATGGCCGTGCAAGTAATATTAAAAGAATTGCGTACTCAAAGCTGAATCACATGGTTAAAAAGCACTCTGATTGGCTGGAGATGAGCAGTGACTTCTTGCGGAATCGCTTCCAATTTGCTTGACTTTGAAATGGCTTTGAAAACAGCGCACGGTTTTAGTTTGGCTTTGTTGTTTAATCAACGCCATCGTCGGGAGATTTTCCTGTATTATAATACATCTAAATGGCAGATAATTTGATGAAAGCCCTTCTTAAAACGAGCCGCGATCACAAGTGTACGGATAGTTGATGATATGTTATTATAACTGAAAATGTATTTTTTCATGTTGACTGGTACTCGATCTGTATTTGTTTGTCTGTTTTTTTTTTTTTTTTTTTTTTTTAACTCATAGTTGTCCAGTTTATACTAATCCTTTTACAAAACTCAGTAAGTCTTAAACAGTAACAGGAACAGGATGTTTTTCTTTTTCAACAAATGCAACATAGACCACGCGATATGGCCGAACTTGCAGGACCTGGAGGGGTAGAGCAAGAGCTGCGGACTTTCCGTGAATAAAGACAATTTTCCTCTTGCTATTCGCTGATAAGTTATTATGCACAATTTATTCACTCTTCAAGTTGAGTAGAAGACAGGAATTCAATAAGTGACAGTGGGGCTGTCAATGGTTTTCTTTACTTCGTGAAGCGTAAATGAATTTTTTAAATATTGTGAATACTAACACTTTTTTTTATTCCAATGAAAAAATTGTCTCAAAGTTACGCTCATATGGATTCCCAGGATGTAACATTTGAATACTCGAAATGTTATTACAGGGGAGGGTTACATTTCTTACTTCATTTTCCACATTAATTATTGTAGTCAACTTTGTTAAGTAGTTTCCTAGAATTTAAACAAGCGAGAAGTATTAAACGTTTTTGTTTTTGTACTGGAAAAGAATTGTATTATTTTTTCCTTTCCCTGAAAACTGATAGTTTTTACTATCATTCCTCAGTCCATGCCAGGTGTGAATGAAATATTAAAAACTTTAGAGCACGATCTGTATGATCCATACAGGCAACATGGATAATTTTTTACAGATTCCCATTGATCCTTAAGGTGCTGCGAAAAGCCGTCTTTTTCTTCAAACAAGTTTTAAAGCAGTTTTGCCTTAAGTTTAGAGAACGTCTGTGGACGATTTTGTAATAATTTGTAATATCCGTCTTGATTTGCAGTACGTAGTAGCTGTTCTAATTTGCATTCAGAAGGATCCTCAATTAATTTCCTGTCATGTTCAGTGGTCTCCGTACCAATGAAAATAAAGCTAAATAGGTTGACTGAAAACAGTTATTGCAAAAACGAAACATAAATGCAAATAAACTATTGCAAACCGATCTATTTCTGCGTCCCACATGATGAAAAAGTGACGCTAAAGTTATTGCCGTCTGGATAACACCCTCCGAGTTCCGCTTAATTCTTCATATCCCACGAAATCCGAATTCATTAATTGCTTTATTATTCATTTAAAATAATTCCTAGTTTAAAAACATAGCTAAAACATGCTTACATGCATCGATGTTAAGTTTATCTTCGATAGTGTGCGTTCAGGTTTGTCCAGCTCCGCGAATATTCTCCAAATAGCAGCCCAGTGTCGCCCTCCGAGTTGTCTTCTTGCTGTTTTTGCTATGTTTTAGCCATTATTTCGCCTAGTTCCAACTGTAGTTCTTACTCTTGAAAAAAGTGAAGTGTCCGCCATTTTAGTTTTCACAACGAAAACAACTCAACCTCGTCCCCAGGTCTTCTCGGTTAACGGTGTATTAACCTATAGAGGGCTGCATTTTTGACGTCATTTCCTCGTTAAACTCAAGATTCTTCCAATTTTGGTCATCAGTAACTGGTTATGGTGAATTATGTGTGTGCTTTAAGCCAATCAGAATTGGGGAAATATTTTGAATGAGTAATAATCAAACTTGAGAAGTATCCCTTCTAAAAAATATCCAGTCTAGCCATCTTAAGTTTCCTTATGAGCTAACGCTGACGTACTAGTTTTCCTTTTGATGTTTCAGTCTCTCAAACCAAAGTTGAGATTTTGAATGGGGTTAACCGATTAGCGATAAAGAGCGAAAAATACTACCGACTACCTACAAAACGAGAAAAAAAAATTACTGACTACCGACAGAAAAAAAAATTAACCGACTAGCGACATGGACCGCCATTATCGATATTTGTTTTCAGAAAGAAGAGAGCAAAAGAGCTTTTTGTATTTTTTCTTGCTTACGAAGTAACCACATTAAAGGTACAGTCGACTCCCGATAACTCGAACCTTCAAGGGAAATCGAAAAAAGGTTCGAGTTATCAGGAGATCGAGTTATCGGGATTCCGAAGAAAATAGCCGAGAGTAAGGTAAAACGCAGTTTTCACTGCAAAGCGAACATTCTAATCACATTTAATTGTAGAAATGTCAAGTGAAAATTGAAAGATACTTCTAGATTACAAGGTATCGATAGAGTGCCAACGAGCAAATCATGCGTATTTTGCTTAGGAATAAAATTTCTTTTTTTCCCATTTGACCGTTTCTTGGTCCCTTCCTGTTGCAAGGATTATTTTTTTTGAAAAGTTCTCAGACTCAGTCTGGTGGCTTTACAAACAACCTGCCATGTAAAAGTGTGAAGTGTCTTGAAAGAATAAAATCAGCTTTGCAGAGGAAGCGATCGGGAATATTATTAACTCCAGCTACAAAAATCTACTGTCCGTTCGGTTTCACATCGTAGATAAATATTTGCACAGGTTAATCATTTAAACTTCCTTTTAAATTTCCCGAGGCTTTTTGTTATTCGATTGAAACTTAGAATGATTCGCTAGGCCATCTGAAATGTTTCCTAGGACATGCGATGTACGGCACGTCGGTATTTTAGTTCATTGTTTTTATACTGAACTCGGCCAGGTTTCGAAAAAAATGGCGTTGTTTTCTTTTCCTTTGTCGTTCGCTTTAGGCTTGTAATGCGTTTTTCTTCCCATTTTTTTTTGTTTGCTGGTCAGATTTTCTCCCCAACACCAGATTTTCCAACAGAAGCGACTGTATTCTTCGTGTCAAGCTTTCGTTATCTCCTCGTGTAATGTGATCCTTTTTAGTGGTGAGAATATTGCTTGTTGCACATAGAACACTTTTGCTGTTTTACAAACTTCTCTTCGTTAAAACTTAACATTATGGCCCCTAAAATTAATAGAATATATCAAGTGCGCATATTTCTTGACTGCAGTGGCCAGGTTTGACGAAAAAATTTACGTAAATAAACACAGGAAGTCGTGACGGCGGGAATTGTGTGAAATTTTTGTATTTTATTCAACTTGAGCCCGTGCGCCAGGTACTGCCTTTTGACTGGTTCACAACTGACCACTTGGTCTCAGGGGAATCTACATTACATTAGGTTACACTTTTTTCAGCTCGATCGAGAATTTTTCTGCCTATTGCCCAGTACTTGCGCGGCTCTATTCTGCTGCCGCCTCGCCATCCGAGCGTCTCCGCTCGGATGGCTCGTTGGCAATAAATCAGAACGTAATGTAACAAAACATAGCCTAAATAGAGCGTGCGTTTTACAGTTATGAGAAGAAAAGCTGCTTCACGTTAGCCTGTGACAATCAACAGCAGCCTCCAAAGTAAACTATACTCCTATACAACACGTCAATAGGAAATCCAAAATTCAATGTTTCGGACGCCCGTAGACGGCTTTTCCCCGACCTTTTAAGGGCTCAAAACATGGTTCCAGTTATCGATGGTAAAATTAGTATAGGTAATAGCATGATTTGTAGTGATATTTTGCATAAATACCACGAGTGATATTTGGAAATTGTTATACGTAATTTCGCGAGCCGTTAGGCGAGTGAAATTTGAGACAATTTTGAAATATCACTAGTGGTATTTATGCCAAATATCACGTACAAAACATGCTATTATTTGTTTAATTTTTTTTTTATTTATTTATTTATTTTTGCCTTACAGACATATATTAAATGTTTACAGTACTAAACACTACTGAAACTAAATGCTACTAACAATATTCACTATACTTGCACTATTTACAATATTGGCTATACTGACAATACCATCCATACGATGCTCGTACTACTAATAATTACAATGGTTACACTACTTACAATTCTAGTACATCACACACACACACACCCCCACATAAACACACACACACACACAAAAAAAAAAAAGGTCAGAGGAGTTACTTTTCATGTCTATTTGATAGCTTTTCAATTCTGTATTTAATTATCATTTTACCGTTTAGAGAAAGTATATCGTATTTTGCTTTCTCTTGCATTACAATAAAAAACAAAAAAAAACAAAAAAACAAGAAGAATATATATGCAAATTAAAAAAAAAAAATACAGAAGCAATTAAACAAAACTAAAATTATACAAAACGTAAATTAAAGTAGTTTTTGAGCGTTTCCCTTCTTCTTCTCCGAACTTTGCGTTTTTTGTTCCTGTCCCAAATGTAAGTTACAGTTTTTGTCTTCCTTGGCCGATTGGACATTTAAAGATAATCTAAGTCTTCCAGCTCGTTACTTCTGACCGGCTTACCCTGCGGAGAGGTCTTGACATCTATTGATCCATCCATTGACCAGACACTCAACAATTCATCATTTCTCCGCATCTCGTTTGCCCGATTCATTATTTTTTTCCTGTACGGGGTAAGATTCTCGTTTAAAAAAATTCTGTCGGCTTGCACTAGAGTTGACGACGAGCACTGCGGGAAGATGTTAGAAACTCTGACATTTTTTAGCTTAGCCCTAGCCCTGTATAGATTTGTTTTGACCTTGTGGCTTATAAATTTTACAATAATTGGTTTGTTACCCTTCCTGTTCAGCTTGTGACATATTTCGATATCCTTTGGTTCCACCGATACATCTAGGGCCTCCACTAATTTTAACACCACGTCTTCCGTCTCGGTGTAGGCGCATTCTGGTACACCATGTATTTCTATTGAGTTTTTCCTCGTGTATTGTTCTAGTTTGTCTTGAAGATCGTACAATTCACCAATTTCTTCTTCCTGCTCTTGAATTTTCTTTCTTGCTGCCACCAGCCCGCGTTCTACCTCGTTGTACTGCTTCGTTATATGTTCTAGAGATGATTTCAACGCAGTTATATCGTCTGTTTGATGTTGAATTGTGCGCTTGAGATCGGTCATTTCGCTTCTGATTGTTTTGTTTTCGCGTAGGATAGTTGCAGTATTTATTTGAATGTCTACCAACATCTCCCTTAGTTCTGCATTACTGGGCTCACCTTCGGCGTTTATTGCTTCATTTGTCGCTTCCACTAACTCCGCGGCCTCTTCCTCTTGACATTCCGCCATGTTGGCTCTTTTAAGTGTCGATGGTTCTTCTTCCTCCACTGATCCTCGAGCTCCTCGTTTGTGTTTTCCTCCTAATTTCTGCATTTAATACTTCAGCAAGTGTTTAAACGTTGAATTATTATGTCAAGGCGGTATAAAGTTCTCTAAAATTGGCGTAAAGGGACAGAAACTACGCTCCTCACAAAACGTGCCACCGCACACCGACCCCACGCATGCTCTCTTGTTTATACTACTACCCACAAAAGGTTTGTAATTTCCACATGTAGGTATTTCAAATTAAGCTGAAATACCACTGCTCTAAGCCAATCAAATTGCAGACATTTCTGATGTAGTAGTATAATATAGAAAACAAGACGCCTAACAGTCGTTTCCGTGGGATGGGAAAGGGAAAGATGTGTCATGTTATGAGCATCGATGAGTAGGTTACCTGTATGGGTTGGTTTAATGTGCTTATGACTGAATTTATAGTAGCCTGCGTGGCAGGCTACTGTTTCTCCCCAATCCACATCCCTTTTTTGCTTCCTCTCTATCCCCTACCCCTTTCGACACCTGCTACGCAAGCTAAATTTATAGTTGTCAATGGTCGCAAGGATGGAGTTGTTCTTGTTTTGATCTATCGCTATGTAGTTATTTTCGTAGCACGATTTGGTTAAGAAAAAGAAGTTATTTTGCATCAAAACAAGGTTTAGCCGTGTAACTCAAATTGGAATGGAAACAAGTAATGGAGAACATGCGCATAATGCTCTCTGCTTAACCTGAAGAGGAACTATATGTATAAAGATAGGTCATATCTTGGTAGTAAGTTGCCACAGGTAACTTTTTCAAAGAAAAATAAACATTGTAGTTTTAGGTTAATAGAACAAAACAAAACAAAACATCCGCTTGGTTTATCCAGGGTCGAACCCAGGGTTACAAAGTTCGATAAAGTTCCAATGTTTTAATCCAAGATGAAAGTTTAATATTCCAAGATGCTCTTGATACGGTTAAAAATTAATTGCAATGTGTTTCCAAGGTCTCAAAGTTAACATAGTTCCAATGGTTATCCCTGATCCCAAGGTATAATAAGTTTACTAAGGTCCTGATCCGTGTCCCATCCAGAAGTCCCATCCATGCCAAAAGCGAGTCGTTTTCGCGATTTCACCGTCAATCGTCAAGGGTACGAGTTGAAATTTACGCCATTTAACCTCCATCGTCAAGGCGTTTTCGATAAAAAAAGAAAAAAACTGGCGAACTCTGAATAGTAAAATCTATCGGAAAATCATGGCCCGCGACCAGACGCTACTAAAACCTTATGAAAAAGCTAGACCTAAACAAAAAAGAATCATGAAGGGAAGAAATAATTTGGCTTAGGTCGCCTTTCGTGACTTGCCAGTATCTCTAAGGGTTTCGCTGGTTAACAAGCCATCCTAAACCACGAGTGGGAAAACTCAAGGGCGACAAATTTTGCAAGGAACGTTTTGATTTCGACTTTCTTCAGAGGAAGTAAATGGATTAAAAATCGATACAGATTTTGTACAGTCTGATTGGTCGGCTTGGAAGAAGAGATAATCGATAAAGATTTTAGGCAATCCTATTGGCTGGCTTTGCAATTTTGGGTACGACCGAACCGGATTTTTACCGTGGGAGTGCCACGGGCATCCCACGGAATGACCTGAGGGGAAACGGAAATTGTTTCGAGTTAGCGGGAGTTCAAGTTATCGAGGGTTCGAGTTACCGAGGGTAAAATTATAGTGAATGTATGACGGAAATGCACGGGAAATCGATTTTGGTTCGAATTAGCTAGCGCGAGGTTCAAGTTAGCGAGGATTCGAGTTATCGGGAGTGGACTGTAATTATAGCATTTCCTGTCATCTTCTTACTTTTTGGCCGGAAGAGCGCTGGATCATTTTGCAGAACAATTTCCGGTACTCGAGCCCACGAAACCTTCCGCTGTAATATTTCAACCACGTTGTCTGTCCAGCCATGAGTAGAATCATAAAAGTGATAGTGAGTTTTTCCAAAAGGGCGAAAAAAAAGTCTCAATCGAACGCCACCGTAGCCGTGTTCCGGTCGACAAAAATAAACACACAAGAGTATTCGAATTTAAAAAACAATTCAGACAAATCTTTCAAGTTACAAGTTTTACACGTCATATGGGGCTCAAAGTCTTAAAACTAGGTAAATTTTAAATAAAACAATAATAATTAACATGCATTTTTAATAATTATTAACTGAGATTTACCGATAACCGACAAAGATCGAAATTTTAACTGACTACCGACAAAGTGACTGAATTTTAACCGACAACCGACAAATGGACCCCCCCATTCAGACCCTCAAAGTTCCTTTCCGGCTTGAGTCGACTTGGTGTTTGCTTTTTCACCCATAAGTTTTAAATTGTTGTCCATTCGTAAATAGGGCAAAAATAAAATAAAAGTTTTCGTAAAATCACGCGAAATTGTCCTTTTTCATAGTTCAAATCGGTACTTTCTCGGCTTTTATCGATTTTTATTGTGCTTTCGCGGTTTAGAAGTAACGTCGATAAAATGATAGGTCAAAGAAAAGTCCTCTCCGGGACCACGAGTTTCAAAACAGTTTGCTTTGA